CTTACAATACAACAGCGCCCAAAGTCGATCGTCACACAACTAACCAACTAACATTCGGCTCGACAAGCTCAATGCTCTGTCTCAGCTGAGCCTTACTTCGGGCCAAGTTAGCAATACGTTTGTAGCAACCTATTTGGCCTATTGAGCATTGAGAGACCAATCGAAATAAACAACTGAGCTGCATCATACTCTGATGCTTATATGTACATTAGGGTGCATCACTCTCCATAAAAAAAACTTGGTACTGTTTTTCCATCGGAATTATAGAATCTCTTTTATATGTAAAAAGAAGGGAGCGATAGTAAATTCAGCTTTTAAAAAATCATGCGGTCGAAAGTTCTGGAAAAAATGTGAAAATCTTCCTTGTAGTTAAAATTATTTCGGTTCGAAATTCTACTACTTCTAAAGAACAAAATAATGTAGAGTTAAAATTCTGGAAAGTAAAATTCTGGGTTCAAAATTATTTTGGGCCAAAATCCTGTTTTTTTTACAAGCTTTTATTTAACTTCACTTGTATGTCCTCGAATTTTGCAATCAATATTTCACCAACTTGAAACTGCAAACTTAGCTCGTAACCCGATGACAATGCAATATTAAATAGTCAGCTAGGTGGCGCAGGAGGGAGATATTTGGTAAACCAGTATTTAGGGGCCGATTTTATTCATACTTAGAAAACTTGTTGTAAAAATATATTTTTACTATTAACTTAAGCAAACTTATTTCGTTCTTAAATAAAAAATAATCGGCAAAAGAAGTTAATATACCATGAAATTCTTAGCAATTCTTTTTAGAAAACAGATATGACTTAAGTCTAATCTGTTTTTATCATTCCTTAAATTTTCCTATATCGAGTGCTTATATTAAATAGCCTCCTTCTGCAATCAGTGGCGGATTCAGCGGGGGGTTTTAGGGGTTAAACTACGTGTAAGTCAGTGGCGGACCCACGGGGGCTGTTTTAATATAGCGCATATGTATGTATAATATGGCGTCTATGTATTTACACAACCCCCTTGGGTCCGCAACTGACTGACATGAAGTTTAACCCCAAAACCCCCTCCCCCCCGGATCCGCCACTGTCTGCAATTATCACAAAAACTACTTTGTGATGCTAGAATGAATTGTCGTGTTCAGCTTTCGCATAAACCAAATAGCCTTTGAGATCATTGATGAGTTTATGCAACCCTGTATTATGTTTCCCAACGATAACTTTTAGCCGATGATGCTAAGTCCCAACATTTTGTGCTCCAGGGAAAGGTATACTTGTTGACTCATCGTGCATTGATAAAAATTTTGGTGAATATTTGGCTGAGATTTATCACCAAATATGTATTTTGTTTTTCAAACCATAAGCAACAATTGGTTCTATTCAAGAAGTTCAAGAGTGTTATAAAAATGATTGCCGTACTCACAAAAGCAGGCTTTTTAACGTTGTAATTTGTAAAGAGAAACATGAATTTTTGCCATATTTCTGAACCAATTTGTTAACAAAAATATAAATTTGAACTGTTTCTGAAACTAACAATAGTTATAACTTATATATATGTATATTTGCTTTACGGAATTCTGAATGCAAAAACCGGAAAACCTATGGATAAAGAAATGAAGTGTATTGCCAAAATTTTGCTTTATCAAATTCTGTGTGGAAAAATCGGAAAAACATATGGATAAATAATACAAGTGCGCACTTGTGTTATATGTCCATATTGTTTTCCGATTTTTTCCTTACAGAATTTTGTAATACAGAATATTAAAATAAAGAATTTTGCAATACAGAATTTTGCGATACAGAATATTAAAATACTGAATTTCGCTATACAGAATTTTAAATACGGAATTTCGAATGCTGTATTTAAAATACAAAATATTGAGCCCTAATGATTTTGTACCCAATCCTAAATAAAATTAGTTTTTAAAAAAATTTTTTCTAAAGAATCACTTCAGATGATAGACTCTATCTGAGAAGGTCTGCTTAAAAATGTTTAAAAATTGTATCAATGCAATCAAAATAAGTCAGAGATTTTTGGTGGTATTTTCCAATTGGTTCAGCTCACGTACATAAGTCTTAATTGGCGGAAGTCTTGGAAAAACCGCAATTTTTTTTTTTGGTGAGGCACCCTAATGCACATACATACATATGTATGTATGTATGTATGTGCACTTGCATATGAACACACAATCTAAACGAATGTGGCGTAATATCATTTAATTGAATCACAAACGTGATTTGAGCGGTTCTCAAAGCTTAGACGAGCGTAGTAAGTATGTACATACTACAAGGTGAGTACGTACAAATGTATATATGCACATACATACGTACGTATACATATTGATACAAATAATACAATTGTACTTCTAATAACCCTTCATGTGTATTACCCACTGAAACCTGCTCTTAGCGAGAGAACATTTTACTTTAACGCGTTTACTAAGTATTGGTCAGTTGATCTCTGGGCTAGCCATACAATATCGTAGGCTCAGGTGAAACTAAATTTTTAATACCCACAGCACTATCGCACTAATGCTAGAAAATTCTAACAAAACGAAGTCTCCGATGACCTGGTGGCGGAAGACTTATGGTCTGTCCTTGTGGAAACAGTACTATATTGCAGGTCTCCTTCGCAGCTAACAATTACCAAATGGGTAAATTCCAAGTGCGGTAAGTACTTACTTTAGAGCCGCAGGGGATCTTTTGAATAAAGCAACAGCAGTTTGCTATTCTTGCCCCTCCGCAGGCAATGGCAACGTAAGGATGCCCATGAACTCAATGGAAGCACTAAGAAGAAAGAAGCACCGGTCTGAATTTCGCATGAATGAGGAGAGGTAATTTATGGAATTTCGAGGTATGGACGACGTTGTTCTCTGTCCTTCGATCTCGCAGTGACCTGGTACGCAGCGCAGTGTTATCGTGTTTTTGTGCTGCTAAGAACTGAAGAGTGTCGAAGCACTCCTTGACGGGCCTAGAGTT